GATGACTTTTCTGGGTCCTGTTTAGACAGGAGATGAAGGGACTTCTCAGCCTCCATAATCATGTGACCAGACACCTTATTTTATGTGCGTGCACCAAGCTGGCTCCTGAAAGCCTCCCTTGGTTCTGTAGGCAGTGGCGGCTGTAAGGGGGCCTGATCCAGACAGCAGTGGCTGCAGTGTCAGGAAGAGGGTAATTATGTCCAAGAGCAACTGTGGGACCTGTTGTGCATGATGGAACATGGCCGAAGTGGTGCTGTGGCGGGGCTGGCGTGGCAGCACCTAGAAAAGGAGCAGTCATGGCCAAGGGGTATGTGGCCATCAGGAGTAGCAGCTGCCAAAGGAAATAAAAGAGGTTCAGCAGGATAAAAAAAGAGCAAATGCCATATGGTAGCGGACCAGGCAGCCATCTGGACTAGTGAGAACCTAAGAAACGAAAAGCATTCCCAATACTGCCTAGGACTATTCTTCCATCAACAACGCAGGAGCAGATAGAGCCAAAAAGCTAGTGTTCTGGTTTAGCTTCCCAATTTCAAGGCCTGTAGAAGATCAGCTGACATTTACTGACCACAGGTACTGTTTCTGGGCTCTGTTCAAGATATTCTGTCTGTTATCTCATATGATCACCCATCTTATAGATTTGAGGCATGGATCTATCCTGACACCAAGCCTCCTGACCATTTTCACTCAGATAGTGATGGCAAAATCCATGGCCCAAGTGGAACTCAGTTTCTTCTTCCCTCTAATTCCTACCTTTTCCCCTGTATTCCTTATTTTAGGGTGCACTACCACCAACTCCCTAAGCCAGAAACAAAATATTATCCTACATTCTTTCTCTTCATTCCTTGCTCCATCAAACCCTCAGATGTTTGCTAGGGTCTGAATGTTTGTGCTGCCCTAAAATTGATGTTAAAATCCTAACCTCTGAGGTGATGGTATTAGGAAGTGGGGGCTTTTGAGGTTGATCAGGTCGTAAGGGCAGAGCTTTCATGAATGGCTTCAGGACAGTTATCCCAGCTATCCTTGTATATATATATATTTTTTCCTTTGTTTTCTTTCCCTCATCGGTTGTTCCTTCCCTTTGAGCAATTTCTTTCCCTTTCACAATATCTACTGTACCTTTTGGGTTTTATTTACTCTTTCAGGTTCTTACACTAGGGAGACAATATGATGTTTATACACACAGGTCTGATTTATTTCACTTATGAGTATGGTCTCTAGTTGCATTCATTTACCTGCTTAAATTTTATTTTCTTCACCAATTTTGCATGCTTATATACGGTAATCTGAACAACTGATTTGAAGACAACAATATGCAGTGTGTAATATAACAATCGTTGAATTCCTACCATCTTGTTTAATGAAGCTCTGTATTGTTTCTAATGTTCTTTTCTCTTACTTTTTATTCTCTTTAGTGGTTTGATCAATCTTGCATTCTTCTTACATCTGGTAATCTGAGTGACTTCACTGACGATAAATGTAATATAACAATCATCGTTAATTCGTATCATATTGTTTTGAAATCCTGTATATTTTTACTGTTATTGTGTTGTTTTGTCCTTTTTTTCCTCTTTAAAATAAAAATCATGGCCTCTCATTGCTTTGCAGATGAAATTCAAGCTCTTTAAAACAGCCCCTAGAGCCCTGGGATTAACCATTACTGTCTCCTTTATTCTCTAGCATAAAAGAAATGCTCATAGGTTCCTTAGCTCCTGACTTTTGTTCATGTCACCTTGTCTGACTGGAGTAGGTTTTCTTTTTTCTTTTTTTTTCCTTTTTGAGACAGGGTCTCACTATGCAGTTCAGGCTGGTCTTGAGCTCACTTTGTAGCCCAGGCTGGCCTCAAACTTGCAACGATCCTTCTGCCTCAGCCTCCCAAGTGCTGGGATTACAGGCGTGTGCCACCACGCCTGCCTAGTGTAGGTTTTCTTGAAACCCTTTATTTGCATGGCTCATCAGCATCTACACATGCTTTATGACTCAGTTCAGATCTGCAGGGAAACTCCCCGCCCCAAGACTCACGATTCTTCAAATGAGCATCTGTGCATCAGTTTGGGAACACCGTCAGCTATTACTGTACTTTTGAACAGTTTTTCCAGGATTCTCTCCATTCCTTTTAGAACTCCTGCTGGATGCTGTACCTCTTCACTGACTGCCAATTTACTGCAGTTTCCACTATCTTACTTTGTGTTGCACTTGCTAATTTTTCGGCTCTAAGCATTCAATCTTTTTCAGCTATGTCCAACCTGGCATTCAAATTTAAACCTTGTCCCCCTTTTAAGTTGTTTGGTTCCTTAGAACTCTAATTGTTCTATTTTCCAGGGTTCCAGTGTTTATGATTTCTAGTCTATCTTCAGACTTTTCAGTCACTTTAAGTGTACATATTATGGCAGTTGTCTTTGTCACTGTACTATCACCCCAGATTCTTGGAGGTGCTAAGTTTTCTATTTATTATGTCTGTCATTCTTTCATATTTTTATTTGACATATAATTTTTAGAGCTCCTTTAAGTTAGGACTGGCTGTTCTCTGGCTGTCTGATACACTTTTGCTGTGGAATTATTGCTAAGAGTGCTTTTATTTGGCCACCTCCTGTATTTTACCAGACCAGAACTAATTCATACTTTTGGGCATGGAAAATTCCACACCATGCACATCATCTGGAAGCCATAATAGCATAAAGCATAAGCCTTCAATGTCTTGCAGGGAATTCTGTTTTCTGCCCATAGCCCAGGTAGAGAAGCATCTTTACGTCCTCTCCATGTTTTCAGGGCATGGATAAGAGGTAATATTACTCCACTACCACTGAACGAACAGCTTACCAGAGACTTAACTTTATCTAGTCTCAGCTCCAGCCGCCTGGTCTTTCTAGGACCAAGTTCATATCATTTCTCAGTCTGCAGGCTACCTGATCAAGTTTTAGTTCCCTTTGGCTTCTAACTCACCTATGTATTTAAATCTCTTATTTGGCATTTTTGTTTATAATAGAGGGTCCAGTAACTTAGTATGCTATTGTTTGAAAACATTCTATGAAGACTTTTTTACAATGCTAACAACCATATGACAAAGGTCCCTTCCAGTAAGTGGTAGAACCAGTATTCAAAATCAGATTTGTCTGATCCCAAAGTCTTACCATTTGGTTGAATAGTACTTACCAAAAAAAAAAAAAAAAAGGGATTTTTAAGTTGGCACTAACTAGTAGTAACTAAAAGTTCTGTCTTAACTACTTTTTTGCCAGTAATATTTTATTTTATTTTTTGGTGCAGGGAATTGAACTCAGAACCTTGCACTTGCCAGGCAGGCACTTGGCCAGCCCACTAGTTAGTTTTTAAAGGCATACATTATTTTAATTAATAGGTACTTCTTTTTACCAGCAAGGCTAAACATTTATTCACTGTCATTTCTACTTTCTCCTATTACCTTCCACGAGAAGACTCCACAGGAGGCAGGCCGCCTATGCACCTAAGGTAGGGCACAGATCACAGATGAAACCTACCACAAATTAGGGCCCATTTGGAAAATAAGTAGCTGTTTATTATCTGGAATCAATAAAGCAAGAAGCAAATTTACTAAAATATTTCTTTATTTAAGTAAGGTTAATGTCATTTTTTTCTAGCATCAAATAACAATCAGAAAAAAACCTGACAAAATATTATCCAATTGAAATTGACAATGGATAGAAAACATTTTAAAATTTTAAGTAATATCAGAAAAGAAATATATTAAACAGGCAACATATGGATCCAAATAGTTGCAAGAGTTGATTTTTCACTTACTCTTATAAATAAAAAATGCCCAATATAATAATTTGTTCATTACCTCCTTTCAATAAGGACATGGAAAGGAAAAAATAATCACATCTTAGTATTCACAATTGTTATTTATGTTCTTTACAAAGATTATATCTTTGCAAAGCAGCAATCCTTTATTCAAGTAATTTCTGTTGTCCCCAAATTATCAAAAAGTACAGTTGTCTGAGATAAAATGTCACCACAATCACAATCAGGAAAGCAAAGCGCATTAGCAGGCAGGCTTCACGATGGGCGTTCTCATGGCCTGACCGTGATCTGAAGATGTGCCAACAGCTACAAGTAACAACCTGGATTTGGTTAGTAGTTGCTAAGGAATCCAGAGTTCTAGGAAGAGGAACACTAAGTAAATTGTGAGTATAAAAGAATCAGTGCACATTTGCTAATTTCACTGATAATAAAGTTAATTATGTTCTCAGTCAGCTGTAACCCAACAAAGCTTCTGTTTTTTGTTTTGTTTTTCCTTTTCATCCCCCACCTTGGTGGTTCTTGGCCACTAGTGTGCTCTGAATCCTTGGCGTTGCCTGTTGAACACTGATACCCTGCAGCCCCAGCATAGTTTTGATGCAGGTGGCTTGCAAAGCGGCCCTGGACTCTGTATTCTGAACAAGCATTCCATGACCCAGACAGTCTACAGATCATACTTTGAGAAACAATGAGATGTCTTTAATACTTAACAAACTCACTGGTTATTATCTGTGACTTTAAAGTTTCAAGCTGGATAAAATATTCAAATAATTAGAATACAAATAGGTACATAGTATTAGTCATTATGTAATTGCATTTTCTTTTTAAAAGTGGCATCATAAACACAATGACTTACATTAAAAATTTACAATAAATTTTGTTTTAGTCCAAGGCACCTGTAAGATACTTGCTGGTGTGAGAGAAGTGAGTAAATTCAATTATACAAGAGTAAAGAAATGAAAGAATTCTGGCAGTGACTGATCTTTCCACTGAAACAAGCTATTCAGTCAATGATTTTGAAAACAACCTAACTTCAAATAAGATAAACATTCTGAATAAACTATTTTACTGAGTGATTTTAAGCAAAGTAAATTCATTAGTAAAAAAAAGAAAAAGATCCATGCTCATGATCTTTCATAACAGCCATCGCCATTTGCCTTAGGAGTGAGCAGAACGATTCCCCTTGCATTTTAGCCTGAAATATGTATACTGCACAGATCTGGTATTCCTTTAATGTTCAGCCACATGTGACCATGGACTTTATAATACTGGATTTGGCAGCCTTTTATCTCAAGAGGATTTCCCAAGGTTCATAGTCTACAACTTAAACATTCTTCTGAAGGTATTAATATTTTTCATGGAATACGAGTAAATTCTGTGATGATGCCGTCTCTGAAACATGAATTTCAGAATGTTAATACTACAGAGGAGAAGTGTGAGAGGAGCATTTTATATGCTCAAGTGACTGAAGTAAAGTGACTCACTGGTATATTTTCTCTCAGAGTTCTAGGGGAAAAGCTAACAAAAAGCAACATGAGATTGTACACACAATTCTAGCTAGTGCTGCCGTAATACAGAGTTCTTCACTAAATTTTTATATAGCTTTCAGGTTGCCAGTCCAATTTGTAAATGACATTTGAGAACAAAATGAGGAACGCTTGAAAGAATTCAACAGTTCTGGTTTTTAAAACAGTATTACTGTGGATCATACGATACATGAAAGACAGCCAGGAAAAGTAAGTCTATAGGAGCTGTGAGAATAACAATTAAATTTGTATTTAAAATGTCATTTACACCTGCTTTCTCTAACACCTAGAACTATGTACAAAGACTGTAAAACTTCCTCCCCACCCTCACCATCCCATGGTGAGTATACTAACAAGTGCTTCACAGCATCCTTAGTTCCAACATTAGAAGGAATAAATCAGAAGTATATATTCTATTTTTAAATTTTCCCTTCAAAAATCTTAAAACTGCTATTTAAACAAGCTCCTTGATTTAAAAGAATACACAACTAGTTAAAAACCCTGGGTTGCAGGTATGTTTTGTGAATTTAAAATATCTTCAGAACATGCAATCTGAGCTGAATTACAGGTTGGACAAAATGGGAGAAATAAAATCCTTAAATTAAAAATACTAATATAAAAATTGTTTTTACAATATTAGCTGATATAAAATTGGAATGAAGACAATGAGAAATACGGGCCATCATGAAATAAATGTATTCCCAGACAAAATACCCAATTTTTTAAGGCAAAAAGCAGCTCTTATTTTTTTTCCCAAAAATTTTCTTTAAAAGTAAAATATAGCATTGGTAATAAGAGAAAAAAGCATTTCACTAAATATTCTGAAGCCCATTATTTACATCCTAAAGCTCTCAGACAAAATATTCTTTGATTTCAGAGGGTGCTGTGTTAATATTAAAGGACTGCAGGACTGGTCTTATGTTAGAAAATTCTGACCCCTAAAAAAAGACTTTGTTTACAAAATACATATGACAGGGAACTCTTAATTTGACCTCATATACTGGGAAGCGTGAAGGCAAATGTGTTTATGCTAAATAAAGAAATCTCAAATACTGGAGACTTAGGGTAACACTCATAACTAGGGGATGTCCCTTGTTTTCTATTATTTAAGCTCTTACTTGTCAATATTCTGTTCAGTGGTTGCAATCTATGGACTGAAATTTGAACACGTTTAAGTGCTATCAACAAATTTACATGTGGTTTTCTTTGTTTTAATGTTTATTCTTACTGAAAATCAATGTTTCAATAGTTTTTATACAAAACTTAATAATTTAGACTATGAAGCAATTTAAATACTTAAATTCCCTCAAAAAGACATTTTGTACATACATACATGATTAACACATATGAAAATGGTGGTCAAAAGAATTTTTTGGCGGCTGCTTCTTGTTGAGTCCTAAAAAAGAAAGAAAAGAAGTTCTATGTACTTAGCTTTGTAAAAAAATAGGGTTGCTTAACATTAAAATACCAAAGCCTTTTGAAATAAAATACATTCAGGTAAACATATATTCTATACATGAACTCCCAATATGAACAGAAATAGATTATGAACAAAAGTTCATAGGTATTAAAAGTTCTGTTGTGGTGATACATTACTTGATAGAATATTTCAAACTGAATAGATGAAGAAAAATATTGTGACGAACTTTATCAAAAGACTTACCTATACATGACATAACCAATGAATAACACTGTTTGTACCACTACAAATATAACAAAGTGTACTGTAGACAAACATGATGGAAATGGTGGTAGTTCTGGGCATTTCGGTTTTTCATTGGATGGCTATAAGGCAAAAGAACATTCTATTACAATCATTCAAATCAGTAGTGTGGAAAAAAGACATATATGTGAAACTTTATAAAACTCATGGTTTACTATACAAGCAAGTATTTTCATGTACATTCTCCCAAATATTTTTTATTCCTTTATCTATCACATTTTACTTTTTAAACTTAAAAATACATTTTTTTTTAAAGAGTAGTTGACATGGGAAGGCTTTCATGCGGTCCCTCTCTGGTCGCTAAGTTACTGCCTCTGGTGCCTATCTTCCTTATGGGTGGTAATTTTAATGGCCCTGAAGATTCTAGAGTTTAGAGCCATCATAGACCATAATTCCTCCCACATTTGCAGTTCACACTTGCTGTACTGGTATATTACTTACATTCCTTAGTGCCAAAAGTAATCCAGGTAAGACAATAAATTAGAGAGTTACAATGCAATGAATTGTTTGATAAAATATCATGGGTTTTTGTCAGCCTTGATCTTCTCAAATCTCACAGCATTCAACATTACGGAGTAGTGTTCTCAAAAAGGCTTCTCTTCCTATTTCTGTAAGTATCCCTTCTATTTTACGGAGCTAATTAAATACCAGGGACAAAGATTTCCATCAAGGTATCCAGACATATGGCTTCTAAGATTAGTTGTACTCAATATGGCTACATCTATTTGGGCAAAGTTTTTTAGTGTATATATTTGTCACAGCACCAAGTTGGCCACTGAAACAATGGCAAAGTTGGAGAAAAATAAATTCAAACAAAATTGAGATAATAATGCTTTAGAAGGAGGGCATGGTGGTACATGCTTGTAATCCTAGCACTCAGGAGGCTGAAGCAGAAGGATTGCCCTTAGTTTGAGCCAGCCTGGGCTACTGCTACGGTTTGTATCTGAATGTCCCCTCAAAGCCTCATGCAGTCATGGGGCAGGCTTCTAGAGTTATGATTGATTCATGGTCCAAGGCTGGAATTATGGATGTGAGTGCTACACTTGCCCTGGGGCAGGTAGTTTGCACACAGTATAAGGGAGGGGAAGAGGCTTGCTCTTTCAGCTGCTGCTCCTCCCTTTTGCTCTTGTTGCTTTTGCTATTTTCTGCTGCCAGGAACTGTTGCCACTCTGTCTTGGAGCCAGCCAAGTATGGACTGAAACCTCCACGGTGAGCTAAATAAACCTTTCCTTCCCTTAATTCTGGGTGTCAGGTATTTTGTCTCAGCAACGAGGGTAAAGTAACCAAGATAGCTACATAAGTGAGTTCAAAGCCAGCTTGAACTACATAGTGAGACCTTGCCTCAAAAAGACAAAAACAAACAAAAATAAAAAAACAGGCTTTAGAAATGTCATGGTAAGAAAACTAAGTCATCCATGTTTACAACAAAAAAAAATCATATACATAGAAATATAGTTTAAAAAGGCAGTGTGCAACATACCCACAGCCCAGAGAACATCACAAGGAGAAAAACCACTCTCTAAAATGACACAACTATGAGGTATTTACCCTCATGATCTTCAAACTTCAACACAAAAACACAAGAATAGTAAGAAAACAAGGCAATAAAATGCCACCAAAAATTCATACTTCCCCAAAATTGATCCTATAGATATTTACGTGGACAAACTTTCAAAGAATTAAAAAAAAGAATGATAGTCAAGACAATCAATGAGATCAAAGAAGACACAAATAAACAGCTGAATGAATAAGTTAGTGAAATGGTCAGTGGGCTTAAAGAAGATACGAATAAACAGTTGAATACATTAAGGAAGATAACACATAATATGAAAGACTACTTTGGTATAGAAATAATGGGTTCTGAAAAACAGCCAAAAGGAAATACTAAAAATAAATTCTTAACTAGTCAAATAAAAAACCCAACTAAAGAAGTACCTACAATGAATCAGAAGAAAGAGTATCAGAGTTGGAGACAAGGTGGACATACTAGAACATTCAGTCAGTGGTAATGAAAACAAGAATGAGAACAAAAAGATCAGTGAGCTCCTACACAATTCTGAATGTCCAAATTTAAAAATCACTGGCCTTGACAAGGGACTGGAAGTACTGGCACATGGCACAGAAAACCTATTCATTGAAACTATAGCAAAATAATCTCCCACATCTGGGCAATGAGATGGATAGTCAATACTGGAGACATTTGCAACTCCCAAACAGTTATGACCAGAAAAGAACATCTCCACACACATCATAGACAAATTGCCAAAAATTCAGAACAAAAAATATAATCTGTGAGAACTGCAAAATCACTTATAGTGGCAAACCCATCAGAAAAACAACAGACTTTTAAACAGAAACCCTAACGGTCAGGAGGGCTTGGAATGATATATTTTAAACCTTTAAAGAAAATAACTGCCAATGTACTATATCTTGCAAGACTATCCTTCAAAATCAAAGGATAAATGAAGACTGTGTTAGTTACTTTTCTCTCATTGCTAAGACAAAATACCCAACACCCAAAATTAAGGAGGAAAGGTTGATTTAGCTCATAGTTTGTGGAGGTTTCAGTCCATAATCAGCTGGCTCCAAGGCAGGGTGGTATGGCACAAGGGCAACAATTCAAGGCAGTAGAAGACAGCAAAAGCAACAAGAGCAAGAGTGGGGAGAGAATAAGCCTCTTTTCCTCCCTTATATTGTAAGCAGGCTCCCCCTCCCTGCCCCCTAACCCCAGAGAGGGTGGGTGTAGCACTTGGACAATCTCTATGCCCTCCTCTTGTACAGGCACAGGCTTGTTTACAAGGTGAGGACCCTGGCCCCCTGCTGAGTCACTCAGTTAACCTTCTAAATGTCTCAAATTGACACAATGAACAACATCGCAGAAGGGTAAGGGCATGTCCTGTATACTCCAGGATGTAGAACTGCTGAGTTACTTAGTTAAGCTTCCAGACTTCAAGTGGATACAATGTATCCACCATAACAAAGACCTTCTAAGATAAGGCTAAAGTAAAGCAGTTCACCACTACTAAAACAGCACTGCAGAAAGTACTTTTGAGAATTCTAAACACAGAGTAAGAGGACAACCACAACCATGAGATCAAGGGAAAGAAAAAATCTCAATTGGAGAATATATAAACAAATGAAAATCAGGAACGAATCAAACACTAGAACAGCAACAATATGACTAGAATGAATACCTACCTTTCGATAACAACACAATGTAAATGGTCTTGATTCTCCAATAAAAAGACATGACTGGATCAAATAACATGACTCAACTCTGTGCTGTCTACAAGAAACACTTCACCTGCAAAAGACCTACACTCTCAAAGTGAAAGGATGGAAAATGATAGTCCAAGCAACTGGAGCCCAAAAGTATGCAATAGTAGCTTACTTACAACCAACAAAGTAGACTTCAAACTGAAATCAGTAAAAAGAAACAAAGATAGCCACTACATATTGGTAAAGTGAACAATTTGCCAAGAAGAGTAATAATTATAAATATATATGCATCAAACATTACTGCACCCAATTTCATAAACACTACTTGACATTATGGGTCAGAAAGATCCCAAAACAATCATAGTGAATGAGTTCAACACACCACTCCCAGAATCAGGTCACTCAGACACCTGCCCCCACAAGTACTCAATAAAGAAACAACGAAGTTACATTATACACCAAATGGACGATTTAGGTCTACAGAGTATTTGATACAACAAGAATAGACACAATTTTTTCAGCAATCACTCATGAAACTTCTTCCAAAACAGGCCATATATTAGGTCATAAAGATTTAAAAAAAAGTCTGAAATAATCTTATACATCCTATCAGATCACAATGAACTAAAACTAGAAATAAATAGCAGAAGAAACTATAAAAACTACACAAACATATGGAGATTGAAAAATAATTTGTTGGATGAATAGACCAGATATTAAGGAACTTTAAAATTCCTAGAATCAAGTAACAATGGACTTTCATGTATTAATAAAAATTTTTTTAAAAAAATTTAAAAAGAAATACAAAGAAAAGAATCTGTATGACACAAAGAAAGCAGCCCTAAGAGGGAAATGTATAGCCGTGGGTGCCTATATCAGAAAAAAGAGCAATTCCAAATAACCTAATGATGCATCTTAAGGGCTGAGAAAAACAAGAACAATCCAAACCCAAGCAGAGTAGAAGGAAGAAATAATAAAGATCAGAGCAGAAACAAATGAAACAGAGACTAAAGATCAATAAGAAGGATCAGTGAATCAAAGAGCTTTTTTTTTTTAAATAAATAAGACTGATAAATCCTTAGCCAAACTTACCAAAAAATGATAAAAAACCCAAATCAGTAAAAACTATAAATAAAAAGGTGAGATCACAACAAAACTTACATCCTAATAAACTGGAGAATCTAAAATAATTTAATAAATTCTTAAACACACATGACCTTCCAAAATTGAAGACATAATAAACAAATCAATAATAAGCAACAAGACTGAAATAATAAGACCCTCCCAAATGAAGAAAAGGGGCCAGGGATATTGCTCAGCAGCACAGTGCCTGCCTGGCAAGCACAAGGTCCTGAGTTCGATTCCCGGTACACAAAAAAAAGATCCAAACAAACGAAGAAAAGCCTAGCACTTGACAGATTCACTACAGAATCTTATCAGACTTTTAAAAAGAACTAACACCAATGTTCCTCAAACTTTTCCAGGAAACGGAAAGGGAAAGAATGCTTCCAAATTCTCCTGTGAAGTCTGGATTACCCTGACAGCAAAACCAGTAAAAAGAGAAAACTACAGAAAAATATCCTTGATGAACATGATGAGTTTAGTATGATTCTTGCAAACAGAATTCAACAACACATTAAAAATCATATACAATGATGAAGATGGTTTCATCCCAATGTACTGATCATGTAAAAAAGAAAATGCCACATAAATAAAACCAAGAATAAAAACCCCATGATCATCACAATAGATGCAGAAAAAAAATGCTTCAACAAAATTCAACATTCTTTCATGTTAAAAACCCTGAAGAAAATAGGTATAGAAAGATCTTCCTCCAATTGATAAAAGCTGAATGTACTAACAAACCTACAACCAACATCATAGTATTGACAGGGAATCACTGAAAGCATTCCTTTAAAATCAGGAATGAGACAAGGGTGTCCCCGCTTACCACTCCTGTTCAGTACAGTACTTGAAACTTCAGGACAATTAGGCAAGAAAAAGAAATAAAAGGGATACAAACAGGAAAAGAAGAAGTCAAATTATCCTTATTTGCTAGCAATATAATCCTTTACACAGACTTTAAAAACTTCACCCAGATTTTTAGCAAATTCAGCAAAGTGGAAGAATACAAAAACCCACAAAATTAATAGCTTTCCTGCTCACCAATGATAAACCTAGTGAGGGAGGAATCAGGAAAAAATTCCATTCACAATAGCTACGCCCACAATTCAAAGAAGCCAAGTTTATTTTGGCTCCTGTTTCAGTCCACAACCACCTGGCTGCAAGCAAACACGGCACGGCAGAGGCACACGGCCCAGGACAGCTGAGGTGAGCTGCTCAGGCGGGGCAGTGGGGAAGCAGAGAGAGATCCAGGGAGGAGCCAGGGAGGGAGCTAAACCCTTCCAGGCCACACCCTCAGGGACCTGCCTTTTCCCACAGAGCCCATCTCCTCCTGGCACATCAGCTACACATTCTGACAATCCAGTCACCTTCTAGAAGTCGCTCCTGTGAGCACATGCAGCTTTTGGCAGACATCTAGATAAAAACCGTAACACGAGGCAACAACCTAACCAAGAAGGTGTAAGGTATCTATAATGAAAATTGCAGAATACTGAATAAAGAAACTGAGGAAGACATTAGAAAATGGAAAGACATGCCTTGTTCATGAACTGCCAGGACCAATACTGTCAAAATGGCCATATTACCAAAAGTGATCTATGGATTCAATGCAGTCCCTAGTGTAACACTAAGAACATTCTCACAGAACTAGGAAAAATAATCCTGAAATTTTTATAAAAGCACAGAAGACCTGGAATAGCCAAAGCACTCCTAAATAAAAGCAGCAAAGCTAAAGGCATCATATTATCTTATTTAAAATCATACTACAGGGGCTGGGGATTTAGCTCAGCGGCATAGCACCTGCCTGGCAAGTGTGAGGTAGTGAGTTTGATTCCTGGTATGGGGGAAAAAAAAAAATCATACTACAAAGTCACAGTAACAAAAATAACAGTACAGGAATAAAAAGACATATAAACCAACGGAATAGAAAAAAGACGAAAAAACAAATCCATGCAGCTGTAGTCATCTGATTTTTGACAAAGGGGACAGAAACATATGCTAGAGAAAAGGTAGTGGCTTCAACAAATGGTGCTGGGAAAACTAGATACCCACATGAAAAGACTGAAACTAGACCCTTACCTCTCACCCTGTACTAACATCTGATCAAAATGAATCAAAGACCTCATTATCAGACTGGAAACTTTTCAAATAGTGGGGAAAAACACAGAAGAGGCAAACACTTGAAGCCATAGGCAGAGGCAAAGACTTCCTGAATAGGACCCCAATAGTACAGGAAATAATATAAAGAGCCAACAGATGGGTCCATTATTAAATTCAAATGGGACTATATTTGCTTCTGTACAGCAAAGGAAGCAATCAACAGAGGAACAGATAACCTAGAGAAGGAAAGAAAATCTTTGCTAGCTACTCTTCTGATAGGAGATTAATATCTAGAATATATACAGAATTTTTTAAAACACCAAAAACAGTAACAACAGTAAAACAAACAGCTCAATCAATAAACAGCCAAGTAGGGCCAGGCGTGGAAGTGCACACCCACAATCCCAGCACTTAGGAGGCTGAGGCAGGATGATCCCCACAAGTTTGAGGCCAGCCTGGACTACAAAGTGAGACCCTGCCTCATTAAAAAAAAAAAGAAAGAAAAAAAAAAAAAGGACACATGAACTGAATAAAGAGGTCTTAAAAGAAGAAATAGAAATAGCCAGTAAGTATATGAAGCAATGTTCAACATCCTTAGCCATTATGGAAACACAAATCAAAACTATGTTGAGATTCCATCCCCCTCCAGTCAGAAACAATGAATGCCTGTGATGATACAGGGAAATGGAAATGTTCAACTGTTGGTAGGAATGTAAGCTAGTACAACCACTATAAAAAACAGTACGAAGATTCCTCTAAAAACTAAAATAGATATACCATTTGATCTAGTGATTCTATTCTTTTATATTCTCAAAAGACTGAAAGACAGCATACAACAATGTAACACGCATTCCCATGGTTACGGAGGTGCAACTCACGACAGCTTAGCACCAGGAACAGTTCAGATCCCCACAGATGAATGGTAAAAGAAAATGTGAGATTATGAAATCATGTCATTTGCAGGAAAACAGAACTGGAGACCATTATGTTAAACAAAATAAGCCAGTCTCAGAGAGTTAAAAATCACCTGCTTTTTAAGTGAGAAATCTAAAAATAAATAAAAGTAAATATAGCAAGAAAGGAGAGAGGATGGCAAAGTTGAAGGCAGTTTTCTAAAGGAATGGGGGAGGGAGGAGAGAAGGACGAGGGGTGTAACGAGGATGAAAACAGTCAAAACACTATACCTATGTACCAATATGACGTCATGAATATCATTATTTCATACTATTAATATGCAACAATAAAAAAATAAACAAACAGTAAAAAGGACTGGAGGTAGAGCACCCATGTGTTCAAGCCCCAATATTCCAGCCAATAAATAAATATATAGCAGTGTCCAAAAATATTAAGGAAACAAAATTAGAAGTTGATGAGTAACATTTCCCCCCTACCACTTACTGGCTAATGATCTTAGGAAAGTCAATTTATTATTAATAGTAACAACATATTTCCTAAAGAATATCAAAGGTTAAAAAAGGCTTGTAAAAACATAAAGCCTCGGGCTGGGGATTTAGCTCAGCGACAAAGCGCCTGCCTGGCAAGCGCAAGGTCATGAGTTCGGTTCCTGGTACCGGAGAAAAACCAAAAAAAAAAAACAAAAAAAACAAAAAAACAAAACATAAAGCCTCATATAAAGTATAAAGGACTGCCAAATAAATCTTGCACAAGACAATTACATAACAAAAAGATTTCAACCCAATCCAATCTAAACGAAACTAAACCAAGCATAAACCCTGACTGAGCAAAGCCAACAAGATAGCAAGAAAGTTATCAGATCAGAACCTTGGGGGAAGAATATACAAATGAAATACACTTCAGAAAACCTGGATCAGAGAAGATATTAAAATGGGAATCAGAAAATATTTTCACTGAATGATAATATAAATCCTCCATATAAAACTTCTACACCATGCCTCTTTGCTCTTTAAGGGTTAACTGCCATGGGAACTTCTATTCCACCTTAAACGACTAGGAAATGAAAACATATGGACATGTGGAATATATGGAACAATTCTATTGCCTTGAACATTAAAAACGAGCATCAGCACTAACTAAAACATCAAAATTATTTACAGTACTGCACAACAGTCAAATATGGGTTCTTCCTTTTCTAAGTGCTATAATTACAAAAGGAAAAGGAAACGAAGTTACCATATTTCGCTGCACTAAGTTATCTATGTCCCTCTTTACTACGTGCAGGTGCTCCTTGATGTCCATGAAGTGCTGCGTTGTCTCATACGCGCCTCCGGCGGAGCCCGGGTGCTGTATCCCACTCACCAGTCTGACAGTTTCACTCATGGAATTCCTGAAACAGAAAATCCCTTTACACAGTATCACTCTAAAAATGACTGTTTTCTGCCACGTATTTCAAGTAGTTATACCATTTTATGCCCAACACATCAGATCATTAAAAAAGTACAGAGCTATTTATTGAATTTTCTTCAAAACTAAAAAATAATTTGTAAAACTACAATTTAACATTATACTTTTATTTTTTATTAAAGGTCACCTAAAAACGACAAAGAGAATACCACTGAAGTATGTATATACTGCTACAATATGTATTAAAACCAACAATGTAAATGGATATTGAATAACATAATGGATGGAACTTTTAACGAAGCTATTACAAGTTTTTCCAGGTGTTCAATATTGTACAGTAAAGGATTAACTCAGCAAAGCTGCGTTGTCTAAACCCTGCAGATTCCAAAGGTTTTCAGGACTGGCCTTTGATTACAGTGTAGGCAAACACTGTGATTTATTACTATTTCTGTTTCTATTTGCCTGGGGCCTTTCTGGGAGACTGACTTTTTGGGACTGTAGACTGAATATCTAAGGTCATTCGCATGGGTGCCATGTGACTGACGACTGACAGAAACTCTAGACACCAAGGCTTGCGTGACTTTTCCTGGTTCATCGTTCCCTGCACATGCTGTAACACACTGTTGGGAAGATGAAGTACAGATGATCCTTGACTTATAGCTTAGCAGCACAGTATGCTATAAAGTATTAGGTGTTACTTTCTTGACTGCCTGGGTGACTGCAATCTGTGGTTGGACGACAATGCCCAGTGTCGCAAGACATTGTCATAGCACATGCTGTTAGCCTTGGAAAATGGCAAAATTTAAATTTGAAGTATGGTTTCTATTGAATGTACACTGCTTTTACACCACAGTAAAGCTGAAAAATTGTTAAGCGGAACCATGCTAAGGTGGCGATCATCTGCACTATCCACAAGACCAGTGGGAGAAGACAACTGGCAGCTTGCTCCTGGTTTTTCCTTGACTCCACTTACGTACCATTTTCTTTGCTGATTTTACTTTATATTGTTTTGTTGTAATAAATCGTAACCATAAGTACAGCAGCTTTTCTGAGTTCTGTAGATACGCCTGGAAAATCACAGAATCTAAGACATCCTGAGGGCTGCAAACACAAGGGTAACTGTATGTGCTTTTCTCTGTAGTTCTCTCAGATGGCCCCTATGTACAGACCTAGTATTTCAACTGGAAGCCAATCAAACAATTATCTATTTGTTCCAACTGCATTATGAAGGAAAAACTGGTGGTTTGGCATACTGAGGTATGGTACAGTCTCCAGTGTGATACCTTTTCGAAGGGTAACTCTGATTTTATACAGCATTTTATCTTACGCACCGACTTAGAATATAGTCTCCATGCAAGATGTAATGCTACTCTTCAGATATAAAATAAAGAACTCTATTACTGCATGGGACCTTTAAATATGAGTCTGTAAGCATGGTTACAAATGTAAAAAAATTATAGACATTTTAATAATGGCAGCTATATGACAGGCTTATTAATAAAGGAATATGAATTTCAATTTTTACCTAGGAGTACTGAAGTAGCTCAATTAATGGCAAATTATTCATTTATACTAAGAATTGTCTTCAAGTCTGGGGATTTTTGTGAGGCGATAAAATAAGAATGGACTGGCAAAACGTGCACCACTGCATCACCGCTGAAGCTGACTGATGGGTGCGTACAGGTTCACTGTACTGTTCCTTTTACTTCCGGGTACGTCTGAAAACAGCCACAAAAGGTCTTTTAAAATCCATAAGGTTGGTGGGCATGGTGGCACCTGCCTGTAATCCCAGCACTCAGAAGGCTGAGGCAGGAGGATCACCATGAGCTGGAGGCCAGACTGGGCTACATAATGATCTCAGGGACAGCCTGAACTACAGCAAGACCCTGTCTCAAAAAAAGGAAACAAAACAAATAAAATCCATAAGGCTCTCACAATCTGCTAGCTGCTCACCTTTAGGATACACTACTCTCTTTCACATCGTAGCTTTCACCAATTCCTAATGGTATTCTCCACCCCTCCGCCCTGGCGCTGTGAAGCTCTTCAGTCACATTGCCTTCCCCTTCTCTGCGGTCTAGAGTGAAGCTCAGCTCAAACGCTACCAGTCCTTTACAATTTCCTTTCTGGGTCCTTTTCTGCCAAAGGAAATCACTACCCTTCACCTTACTATCTGGTATCTGCACACAGGGACTGACTCATCTCTCTGACCTCCTACCAATGCCTTCAATAATTACAGTTCAATTTGAATGAATAAATACAAAGCTGTCTCATTTATCACCTTGGTGTGAAATTTAGCTTAAAAGGGTTTCATTGGAAGGAAAAGGGAGACTGAACTCAGAGTTAATTAGAAGTAATACAATTATGTCAGACTAAGTATTTTCAGTGGGTCTTTTTTGTTGAGACAGGGTCTTGCCACGTAGTGCAGGCTGGCTTCGAACTAGGGCATCCTCCTGCCTTAGCCTCAAGTGCTGGGATTACAGACATTACAGGCATGCGCCACCACGCCCAATGCCTGGTAAGTTAAATTTTAAATTTTTAAATTTTTAAATTTTAAAAATTGTATTTGACTTATATGATCAAAGAAGTCTTTAAAACTATCTACAAATATCTTGAGTGGTTTTTGAATCAACTCATGTATTCATTAAAATTTCTTTCAACGGCACATGTGCTCATGTTGGGTACCATGAATTATGAATTGACGTAGTGTCTGTCTTAGGCTTTCCTTGTCCTGCCTGCCTCGTGGGCTGGTTCTGGAATGCAAAATCCCAAACTGTAAATTGACATAACGTCTATTCTAGGCTCTCCTTGTCCTATCTCTTTGGGCCAGATTGGAAGGCAGAAACTCCCTACTCTTCTGGTCACGGCTGGAAGGCCTAGGGCTAGTAACTACCGTAGGCTCACAGGGCAAGATATGACCTGTAAAGAGGATAAGCCACCTGGGGAAATGTTCATCCTGTCCTTGTCCTGTTCCTTGTCCTTGCAAGAATGCTTTGATCTTCCTAGCGCACTGCAGTTTAGTTACCTTTACTGTTCCTGGGAACACCCACTGCCCTTCACCCACTGTTCTTGACTCAGATGTAAGGAATAAATACCAAGGGTCTGGGTGCCTTGTGACCTTTTGTTCCTGGACAGAAACTGATGGTCCCAGATCCCTGTTCTGTACCCCTCTACTTTGTCTCTTGCTCTTTCCTTCCTTTCCCGCCATCTGCTGCAACCCAGGCAGGAGACTGGAACCCACTGCAGGGGTCTCTAATATTTGGTACCACGGGAAGGGTCGCTAATAAAAACGCAGGGGAATCTAGGCTTTTTTACTAAAACACCAACAAAGGATTACATTTTAATATACAATACCTAACATACTTAGCAAGACTAAAACTTCCCAGATAAAATAACTGTCTTACATATCTGAATGCAAGAATTTGCCTTTCAAAAGTAAGAACTTGTTTAGTGTTTTTTTTTTTTGGTCTTTTGAGACAGGGTCTTGCTATGCAGTTCAGGCTGGCCTCGAACCCACAATGATCTTCCTGCCTCAGCCTCCCTTGGAATTACAGCTGTGCGCCATCATGCCTGGCATGATAGAAAAGTCTTTTGTAATATACAGATGGAGTCTCTTACTGGGCCTATGGGGGTAGAACTGTGGTAGAAGGGGACATAGTGTAGGGAATAGATCAAATGAAAACAGGGCTGGACAGAACCTTAAAGAAAACCACTTTTTAAAGGATAACAGAAGAAGGAGCAGTAAGTGAAGAGCACGAACAGGAGCAGAGGCCAAAGAACACTGAGAGCAAACGGTATGCTGCAAACCTTGACGGGAAAGAGGTTGGATTATTATCAGTGGAGACAGTGCTCTATAGTATTAGCTTATGGAAACAGGACATTTTTGGCTTGTTTTCTGTTTTCCAGGTATTGAGAGATGTTAATCAGCTGCAGAAATAAATCATTCTTATTAGAAATTTATCATCCAACATCCCAAGGAAACAATGCCTGCTCCAACTTTTTTATCTAGTCTCAGGACACAACATGGGAATGAAAAAGAGGTCTTCAAAATGGTTTCATGTCATCAAAAAGAATCTGCATCACATCTACTTATATTATCATCCTACAAGGCTAACCGTGCTTATTTCTGTATTATTTCACATTCTTTCTACATTTTCTAAATATTTCTGGCTCAGTCAAGTAATTATGGCAAATCTACATTTTTTACAAGATGCTAAAGCATTTTCTTTTCTGGCTTAAAACAATTAAGAATTTTAGATATTTGCAGTTTCTAAATATAAGCTCCTGTACTTATTCCCCTATTTATAAAATGGATGTAGAACACGATCTTTATACTACAACATGGTTTTCACCACGAAGGAATCTTACCATAATAAAGTACATGCACACCTTTCTTTAGGATAAAGATATCGTATAACACTGACACACCCCTTTTACATACTTACTTCATTTCATTTACTTGTCTCAGAATCTCATGCTGAGTTTTCACAACAGTATCTAGTTCCTGCTGAGGGATCTGGAGGAAAGAAAGATAGTCAGCCACTTAATAACCTGCATTCTGGGGCTAGGGATTTAGCTCAGCGGCACAGCGCTTGCCTGGCAAGCGTGAGGTCGTGAGTTCGATTCCTGGTACTGGAAAAAAACCAAACCAAAAAAAAAAAAAAAATCCTAAAAAAAATAACCTGCATTCTATGGTGTCACAGAGCACAGTGGCATTTGTCTTCTCCTCTACCAAGGGCTAAATAGGGCATATCTGCATATTTTGAAAGCTCACCTGCCCGTGGTGCCCTGGGATCCCTGCTCCTCTTTTAGAGATCTCCTCTGTCAAGGAAGAGACGTATCTTCTCTGTTCATCGAGAATCATATCTAACTGTCGGTTCAGCTGCTTGATTTCAAGATGAATCCGATTCTGTCCTTCAAAGATTTGTCTCAGCTCACGATCTCCTACACTCTCAAATACTTCATCAGCTGAAAAGTAATTACAAATTGAAATTATTGGAATCATCTACACCTATGTGGTTTTCAACTACCATAACTGACCATAATGCCAACATATATCAAAATTAGAACATTACCAATGGTGGTACAGACTGCCAAATAGTAAATGTGCAGGTAATTAATCTAATCATGACTAAATCAGCACTGGTTTTGCCATCGTTAATGGATGAACACTTATAAATTAATGTACCTAAAAGTAAATGAACAATTTATTTGCATTTTTTCACTTAAAAATAATTTTCTCTTTCATGTATACTGTGTGATTCTATCTATATGACTAGGCAAAACTAATCTAGGGTAACAACAATTAAAATGGTGATGAGCTCTCTGGTGAGGGGCTTTGACTTGGAGGAGGCACAAGGAACTTTCTGGGTAATAACCTTCTGCCCTGGGTGAATGTGAAGTGGCTGTCCACATTTGTGAAAGTTCACCAACTGTACTCTTCACACGCTTGCTGCAACGAGCTTCAGGCTATATTTATAAATCATACGTCCTGATGTGCATGACAAAGTCAAGAAAAGAAATTTATGTCTCATTTTTACCTTTATTAACTCTGAGTCATACTGTTGATCACTGCAAAAACTGCATACTAGTGTTCAAATGCTAGTGACAGGCTATATTAAGTACAGCCTTATCATATATCCTGATGGAGAACCCAAATAATAAAAACTAGCAGATACCCTGACATCACTCTATTCAATCTTAACATGCTGTATTGCTATGCAGCTTGAACTCTTAAGTTATACTGGCTTAGTCCAATATTTTTAAATTTTCAACTGTTTAAGTCCAGCATTCTGTTAGCAGCAAGGAGAGACAACTTCACATTACTCACAATAGTTTTGATCATTTTCTCGTATTATCTGTGTTAATAAAATAAATGTGTCACGGAGACATAAACCTTGCAAGATTTCACTCAGTAAATACTAACTCAACTACTATGGAAACACTGTTTTGGCTTTTTTCAGGTTTAGAGAACACAGAAAACAAAACCCATGACCTTCACTACTTATCTACATAATCACAATGCTCTTTACACACACGTCACTCAGGAGGCACACTCTCACTTTTAAGGGCTTCAGATCCTTAGGGACTAACGACTTGTTGGTTGTTTCCAGAAATGATATAGAATGTGCCAGTTCAGAAAAAAAGGGTTGAGACAGATAACACATACACACACACACCAGAATTCAATACACAAGTGCGGCTGTGGTACCAGGCCAGCTTCACTACAACTTACTAGGCTGCCCTTGGAGGTCAGGATGGTCCTTCTGGAATTCCTCTTTTTTTTTGTCCAATTCTTGTTGATAGTGCTCGAATTCCTCCTGATACTTTTCTTTTTCTTTTTCTGAAATTTCTTTATCTGGTGTAGGCTTTTTTGAAGTTGAAGAATAGATCATAAAAAAGAGAATCAGCGAGAGAGCGCAATATATTTTTTTTTCTCATGTTCTTTACTACTAGCTGAAAGGGTAACGTTTCTTACTGATGTGGGTGATGGTGAGTAAACCATAGCCAGCTTACTCTTGCTCCTTATGGCAACAACAACAACAATAACAACTATCGTCATTTATGAAGTATTTGCTGTAAGTGCACTGCCTCATTTAGTGCTCACAGCACTGAGAGGTATCCAGGACTAACACCTGCTTCATCAGTGAAGAAATGGCACGTTAGAGGTTCAGTAATTTGTACAGGATCACACAATAGTAATGGGCCAAAATAAGATCCAAACTTAGATCAGTCTTCCTAAGTCTTCATTCACAAGGCAACACCACTGAAAATGAACTTCTGGAAAAAAAAATATGTGTGTACTTACTGGTTCTTTTCCAGGCTCCGTCAATTGGAAAGTCAGAAAAGAAAGAACATCATGGTCATCTACAAATTAAAAAAGAAGTCTGAAAAGGTCCCATAATAGATTATTTTGATAGTTATGAGTTTATAGATATTTACTGCTCTAAAACTATAATAAAAATTAGCTCTAATTTGTTAAATGAGCAGTGAAACTCTATGAACTTAGAGATAAAAACTGATCTGAAAGATTTACATTTCAATTTGTACTTACTATCTTAAATCCTAACTCACACCATTTGGCAGTGTTAAACATGTAATAGGTGTTTAATAAATGTCTGAGAAAGAAAAAAATCAAAGGGTCAAAACAAGTCCAAATGCCCAATCATGGCATCAAGATCCTCCCACAGTTCCCCCAAGCCTTACTCATGGATAATGTCCCATCAAGTGAGACAAAAGCCTGTTCAGTATTTCCTGTACCTATCTTACTCTGAAAATTTCTCATGGCACATTAGTACTTTGTGCCTTTCCTATTTGTTTTTCTCACCTGGAAAACATTACTAGTTTTATTTTACCTAAAAATCATAAAAATATCAAGTTAATTTCAAACTGTTTAAGCAGATCAATCCTCATAACACTGAGCTAAAATACCAGTCCTGGCTAGTCTTATCCAAAGAGCAAGGGTAATTAAGTTTAGGTGTGCAGCAATCTTTATGCTTTCTGCCACTCTTACAGAGGTCCAGAGAGATAGATGAAACAGAAAACTCTAAGACTGTAGGGTAGACTGAGTTACTTGAGGAGGAATCATGTGGTGTAAAAGGGCAGGAATCAGAAATCTAGACCAAAACTTTCCTGGGGCTGAGTATTACTTGTCATGTGACCTTCCAAAATACCTTTCATCTAAGATTTGGCAAACTCATCTAAAAATAGGGAAATATGATCTCTCTTCCCTCACTTCCTGGGTTGTACAGAACATATATTTGAAAGTATTTAAAACTATAATGCACCATATAAATGCAAAATTGTATTAATGTGGGATAACTTCATTTATCACTGTATGTGGAAAAAAAAGTAACTCTATCAGTTTAAAATTAAGATACTCATAACATTTCCTCAGGTTGCAAGATTCATTTACATGTGATGTGACAACTCATAGAGTTGACAACAGATGTTTGATAGCCTCAACTTTCAGTACGTCTCTTCTATAAAATAGCATCCAAACTGAGGTTGTAATTTATGTACTTGTATGTAGCCAACTGTGTACCTACAGAACAGTGTAAGAGGAGAACTAGCAGTCCCAACAGAGCAAGACACTGGCACAGTAGTAGATTATGGAATCTTTGTTCCAAATAGCCTTAAAAGGTTAAATGTAAACATGTCTATATATACCCAGAATATATTACCAATAAAACTCAATTCAGAAACTTCCGATATGAAAGCATTGCACAATTTACCTGCAAGGCCTCCCGTTGCAGCAGATATTCCAAAATGCCCTTGTGTGGGAATAATCATATTTTCTACCTTGGCACAAAATTCATAATCATTTTTATCAGGTGTAAAGCCATTATTGATCATTACCTGGAAAGACATACTACAGTTATAGCTTTTACAATGGACATTGTAAAATGAATTTCAGTTACTCAGTTTTAGGACCAATAATATTCAGACTTGCTTCTTTCACTACAGACAGGGTGATTTTAAATAAACCCCACTTAGTATCATTCCTCAATAAAATATTTCACTTCAAATTTTTTTGCCTATTATGTGTCAGAGACTAAGGAAGAGAAAAATTTGATAATTTTCCATAAAAATCTTTCCAAAATCAAATATGGTACATCTGCTCTTGAAGAGTTTTAAGGAACCATGATTACTCTCTCTGAATAGTTCATAGGGAAGAGAGATTACATCTGCTCTCAAATTCTAGTGAAAGAGCTAGAACCATTAGGTTAAATTTGTAATTTTAGCTACAGCTGCTTGAGAATTCAACAGACTGCCTTAACAAATCCCCTTCATTAAATTCATGGAGCACATGGATTGTCGTAGGTTAGCAGAGATACCAGAAGTGATGGAAATCATACTGACACAACGGACAAAAAAATGAAAACACTAAAAAGACACTTGAGTTTTTATTTTGCAGGATATACATTGGAATTTATGACCCTGATTTCTTAAGAGAATCTTGCAATTCTGAGAAAGCACAAGAATCTACATGATGCACGAATACTCTTCTCATTATCCTAGACAAGTTGTGGTCAGCCTCTACAACACCTTCCATTTCTAACAACCCAGTCGCTAGCTGACTCTGTGACTCCTTGAGATACAGAGCGGATGCACAAAGAACAAGCCCATAGCCCTGGAGCAAGAGCATTTTATCATTACTTCCACAGTCAAAGTGGATAGTTAAGATTAGGCCTTATGGCTGAAATGTTGGTAGAACTCTGTCCAAATTTTCAGCAAAAAATAAAATGCCTATCAATACAAAGGTTAATCTCTATATGATGTAGGATGGAAACTAATTTCTAAAGATCACCTGCAATTCACTTAACTATTAATATTTGTTTCTTCAGATTAGAAATGTTCCTATTTCAGTTTACATCACTTACAACTGATCCTCCTCTACAGAGTCAAATCAGAACCAATAACTAGTGGGATAACTGCCTTTAAGGGTTAAAAAGATGCTTAGTAAATCACATTCTAATTTCGACACTAAGAACTTTAACTGTTCAATACTTTTCTCTTTTGCACTTAGCTAACTGAAAATCTCTCAGGAATTTTTACTATCTAATTACAATATTTTTAATTGGGAGAAATGTTAGTCTTACAAAGCACATGTAAAGCATGTCCACTGATTTAGGTCAGTAACACTTGTTTATGAGACCACTGACGACTTTCCTTATTCACCTGTAGTTTCAACCCACTGTTAAGTGCATTTTAAAAATACATAGTATAAACTCTCTTGCTTTGACCATATTTCTTCCAATAGCAGGGTCTTGCTTTCAACCTCTGTTTTTCCTTTCAACATGAAAACAACTCAGACAAGCTAAGAGTACAAACATCAGTTATAAACATTTCTGCAGTACCTAATGTGAGCACAACATTAGGAACCAGGAGCATTATGATACAATGTGTACCCTGAGGTTACAACCACACTGACAGAAAAGACCTATAAACACATACTTCCTAGCCATTTGAGACAACATATTATAAAGGCCAAAGAAAGTATTAGAGAGAAAAAAATAGAATAGTTCAGGAGAAAGATCATTATGAGCTGACTTTTGGGAAATTAGATGGAAAATGAACCTGGAGCAGAATGTTCAAAAGACTCTGTCAAGGAGAGAGGCAAAGGGAGAGTATCACAAGGGACAACAGTCTGAGCAAACACAAACTGGACAGAACCGTTATGCGGCATTTAATGTGTGCACTCACACCACCTGCTCCACAGTCATTCATAGATATTAGGCAACAAAGAATACCAAGGCCAAGTAAATCTGAAGAATGTGGGCTTACTAAAGGCTCACTTATCCTTCATAGGGAAATCTTTAATATGCTAATACCCACAATAGTGCCCATCTTATCTGATTATGGAGCCCTTTTTTGAGAGTGCATTTTGCAGGCTATTATTTGGGGAAATGCTGGGGGATGCCTCATTGTATGCAGCTGCCCTATGACCTGTGAACTTGTGTGTATCTCTGCTCACTGTGGTTGTAGTCTGGGCTTTGCCATACGGAGGTAAGCATGACTTACTGACCATCCTAATGAAACTATACAGGATGAATAATAATTATATGAACTCAAACCCAAGTCAATCAGACTAGATACCTCCTTTGTTACGAAACTTCTAAATTAGCTTAGAATTCAACACTGACTCAATATGAAGTTTGCTGAAGAAATATCTTTTCCAGACTGCCATAGATAGTAGTGGAAGGCTAACTCATGACTTAGGAGAAAAAAATTCACAAGGACATTTTTTATTTTTATGCTCTGTTCCAAACACTGGTATCTTCAGAAGCAAAGTTTACAATGCATTAGTGATGTTAGGTTATTTCAACAGCCACCTGTACATTACCCTAAATTCAATTTATCTACAACTGAACTCATGACCTGCTCTCACTTCCCAGATCCCCCAAACAAATAAATACAAACCAGCGCTCCTATTCTGCTAGTGAACTGTACCAGCTGGCTGTCCAACTGGGCAGAAATTCAGGAACTCTCACTCCCAAACCCCACCAATGTTCATTACTTCTTTATCATTCCTCTGTTATCACTTCTGACTTCAGACCACAAGTGGGGTCTGCAGCTATGATGGAAATGGGATCGATCACAGTCTTGTTGGTTATTTACTATAACACTGTCCAAGCTACTTACAATCTCCTACATTCAATTTTCCTGTGCTCAAAATGGAGCGACCTACCCAATAGCGTTATCTGAAAACTGCACATAACGTACAAAGCACAAGGTGTGGTACTTTAAGAGGCAAGGAGTCTAAATCATCTTACCCTTTGTTCCTTTCTGAATACCTTTATTTTTCTTTATTTATTTTTTTGTCTTTTCTGAGACAGGGTCTCGCTATGCAGTTCAGGCTGGCCTTGAACTCACTTTGTAGCCCACGCTGGCCTCGAACTTGCAACAATCCTCCTGCCTCAGCCTCCCGAGTGCTGGGATTACAGGAATGCGCTACCACACCTGGCTTCGTGAATACCTTTATGAGAATGCTGGACCTAAGTCATTTTTCAAAATTACAAATCAGACAATTTCACTTCTTATTTAAGACTCTGAACTTTCTTATAAGTTCCTTATAGGATAAACTACAGCATATGCCGCACAATGCCTGTTACTGCCATCCTTTCAATCGCACTTCCCCCGGCCCTCTATATCCTCAAGCCATACCAAACTACTTGCTTTTGTCAAGTATCTCAATTTCTTCAAGGCTCTTTGCCTGCTTTTTGTGCTTAGAAAACACACACATACACACACACACACACACACACACACACCCTCTTCCCTACTCGTAGACTTCATGATCCATGCTTTAAAGTGCAGCTCAACTCTGAGAATGTATTCCTGACCTTTGTCCACTCTGACCTACAGGGTTACAGGATTTCAACCCCATGATTCCTTTAATGGTGACTGTTTTGTAGTTTTTGTCATACAGCATAATAATTCTACACATCTCCCTCACTAGAATAGAAGCTTTCTAAGGAAAATGACCTTTGTCTTAGTCATGTCTGTATGCAGCTGTGGCTGTGTATATAACAAGTGCCACAGTGGGATGCTTAAACATTTGCTGACCTACCAGCAAGGTTTTGCAATAGATGCCTATGTAAGCCAGGCTTTGGTGACTATGTAAAAAATATCCACATATCAAGAATTCAAAAAGAAAAGTCATGCTAGAATATTGTTCATTTAATTACTGTTACTTACTGTCAGTGTTTTCTGGTAATATATAATCTTTGCCCGGACAGGATAGGGTTTATTACGAAAATCTCTCTGGCAACTTGCTAAAGCTTGACTGGCACCATCACTACAGTAAACGAGAATGAAAATCAAATAAGAAACTTAGAAAACTTTCCAATATTTAAAAAATTCAAGAGAATTAAAATAATATCAAGTTATGATAAAGTCCTGAGGTACTTCAAGTTATTTATTCAGAAGACAAAAGGTTTTCCTTACAAAACCTTAAATAGGAAGTAAAATTCTCTTAGAAGTCCAATGCTACTATGTGTTGGAGAGGAGGGAAGGATAAACTACTGTACGTGAGAGTTCTAGCACAGCAGTCCTCTAGTCCACAGCAGAAGCTTAATCCCTCCTGCAGCTTCTAAAAATGCAGGTTTGAACTAGACATGATGGCAGACATCTGTAACTCCAATACTCTGATAGGCTGAGGCAGCAGGATCACACGTTCAAGCCCAGTCTTGGTAATGAAGCAGCTTAGTGAGACCCTGTCTCATAATAAAAAAAAATGGCTAGGAATGTAGCTCAGTATGAAGGTCCTAGGCTTAATCTCCAGTATTGAAAAAAAAAAGCCCACAGCTATTACCCTGAAATCAACTGAGGCAGAATCAAAAGGAGAGGGCCCAGGCACCTCCAATTCAAAGTTCCACAGGAAGTTGTGATCAATTACCAGGGTTGAAGATCATTAAGGTAGGAAATAATAAAATGAAGCATGGGCATTAATTTTTCATTTTTAGGCTGAATAAAAATGTTCATTGGTTAAAATTCCTCCACAATCAATATGAAAAATAAAAAATGTACCTATCTTATTCATGTTTCTTATAAATACACTCAACACTTGAAAGTTTTGTAAGCCACTGAGAATCTTCACGTTAAGCAAAGTAAAGTTGACTAAGGTGGTAGAAGTGTTTGTTAGTTCAGTGAAAGCTAAACTTCAGTTTTGAAAGATTTCTCACTTAATAATGAAAAAGCATGACTAACTGGCATTGCCCAAAGCCAGGGACAAGCTATAAACCTTCAAATGTATTATAATTTTAGATTAAACATTTTATGGTTGAACTCTGAGGTGACTGACAGAAACAGCTTTAAGATATAACCAAATAAGACTTTTTTGTTTTCCAGTACTGGGAATCGAACTCATGACCTTACACTTGCCAGGCAGGCGCTGTGCTGCTGAGCTAAATCCCCAGCCCCAAATAGGTTTTTTTTTTTTTTGCGGTACCAGGGATTAAACTCACGACCTCGCGCTTGCCAGGTAGGCGCTTACGCCACTGAGCTATATCCCTAGGCCCTGATATAACCAAATAAAAGAAGAGTTTTTTACTACCTACCAAATCACATTTCAAGAAAAAGAATAATCTTACTCATTTGGAAAGTGTTCGGATGTGAAATAATATATTTCATGAGATTTTCAAAGAGAAGCTGAAATGAGAATAAAGTAAAAATTATATACTTACTTTTGGTGGTCATAGTGGATTTGTCCATTGTTGCCTATGATTACTATAGCAGGATTATTTTTCTGAAAATTAAGAGAATATATTTGTTTTAAAGTCTACAGTCAAAAATTCTAGATTATTCTCAACGTCCAGTGAGGTCTGTTGTACTCTTAAGTGTTTAGGAGTGTTTTAATTTTAAAATAGCATGGCCTTGGATTCAAAGAGTTATTAGAAGGTAATTAAATTGCTAATAGTGATCTCTGAAAATCAGTATAGAAACAACCAGCCACAGGGAAGAACATCTTAAGGCTGCTAACCTACAAGTTGATGTGTCCAGTATGTAAGCACATTTTCCTTAATTATCTTTGATCATTGGCCTGATCAAGAAGAGTGGTTAATATACAAAGAGTAAATGTATGAGCTAGCAGTAGTCATGCACTTGAATACCATCTTGAAAACAAACTGCTAGTCTTCTAAACACCATTGGTTTCATTGCCCACATCTAAAGACCCATGGTTACACATAAGTACTGTACACATACAGGACTATGGGGAAGGAATCACTGTAAAGTCCTCAGAGTTAGGGTTTCATTACAATTTCCAGTTGAAAAATCATTCCTGCATAGCTCTTAGCTGCTAAATGGTCTGCTGCACCTAGACTACTCATGCTTAAAGTATCACATGGCGAGTTCTCCATTATTAAGCTCACGAAAGCGTCAGATAAGCTCTACTTCTCATAGCCTAACTTTGCCAGCAGGTATACTAAAGTAGGTAACAGTTCTGACAATAAATATACCTTTCCATCATTGTCAAAAGAATCAAAAAATATTCCAACACCATTCCACATATCAGCCGATCCAAAGACAGGACCTTCCAAGCCTTGATTTTCTGTATACCAAACTGCCTGAAAATACACAACGTAACAGAGAACAGTTAGAGGCTACCAGTATGTGCATTTATATTCATTTTCTAAGTACAAAGAATGGTCATACCAGCCCATCAGCTCCAATTCGACCTCTTCCAGTCACTCGAAATGTCACCTCTACTTCCCAGTTTTCAAATGCTGCCTTTGCCTTTGTCCACACTGACCCTCTTTGGCTTTTCAAAGATGGTGCTATTCGAATTTGATCTGAACTTGGAATAGCATCTACAATTGAAATCAGAGAAGAAAAGCTTGAGTTATAATTAAGTAAAATTCAACACATCATCTCCAAACTTCTATATATACTTACAAAAATCAAATTTTAACTGAGTAATCTATATAAAAATTTTGTTAGAAAATTTCATATTGACAGTGGAATATCTTTGCCAATTTTTTTAAAATTGGAAAATAAATTTATAACCATACACCAAAAATTCCAGAGGTAATGGGGAGAAGAAAGAAATGATGATTTAAAAGGCAAACTATTTGATTCTCACAGTATCTCTTACAAATACCTCAAAAATTTGCATATTACTTAAAAAAAAACCTTGCAGTTTATTTTATCAGTTTACAAATGTTAGAAAGTTTTCAAACATTATGAAAAGAACGTACCACTAGGAATCAAGAGACTTGTTCCTAGTCTCAGTTCAGCTGTGACTTTGAACAAATAATTCTCTTACTCTGTTGGTTTCACCATATGTTCACCTGTAAAATGAAGGGGCTGGGCTTGATCACTTCTACAAACATGCCAAAAGTTATATGCAAAGTATTTTGCATATATACATTTTTCTAGGGAGAGGGCCAAATGAATTTCAACAAGTAGTTTTTCAGCACTGGCAGACTGGCAGCAACAATACTGATCTCCAAAACAGTGGTTTTCATCTCCAGGCTCTTTTCAACTCCCAGTTTAGGCAAGTTATCCCATTTCTCTAACAACTTCACAGGTATATAAATGCTTACATGAGTGTATATGTAGGCATATCTTGGAGATATTGCTGGTTTAGTTCCCAACCAGTGCAATAAAGCAAGTCACACAAATCTTTTGGTTTCTCAGTACACAAGAAAGTTATACTTACACTATACTGTAGCCTACTGAGTATACAAGAGCAGTATGTACTTACCCTAATTTAAAAAATACTGTATTGCTAAAAAAGCTGACAATCATCTGAGCTATTGAAAAACAGTGACAATACATGTATGGAATACAAGGTTGTCACAAACCTTTGATTTGTTAAAAAAAATTCAGGCCAGGCATGGCAGCACATGCCTGTAATCCAAGCACTCGGGAGGCTGAGGCAGGAGGATCATTGTGAGTTTGAGGCCAGCCTGGGCTACAAAGTGAGCTCAAAGCAAGCCTGAACTGCATAGCAAGACGCCATCTCAAAAAAAAGACAAAAAAAAATCACTATCTAGAGCTGCAATAAATGGATATATAATTTTAAAAAGTTATGTTTATAAATGTTTTAATAATTATTATGTTAGATAATTATTAAAGCACCTATCAGATAGGCCTGAAATTGGAGTAATTCTAGCATACTCTCTCAGATATTAACCATTCTGATATTTATGCTGGGAAATAAAAATAAAACAACTATAAAATCATTCTACACATAGGAAAAATTGACAGAAAAGTTGAGATACTTTACTATGGTCACTCACCATCGCCATCACTTTCAGACAAACATTGCAGGGAAGGCATCGAAAAAATATTGGACAGAGAACCAAAAGTGCTGGGTTTGAGTTTAACTGTTTTGATAGGAACTATGCAACTCTTCCGAAGAACCTTAACATTTCTGAACATCAGTTTTACCCACCTTGCCTACTAAGATACAAGAGATAACACCCACCTTACCTAGGAAGGATCAAATTGGAGAATAAAGCTGAAAGAGCTTTGACAGCTGCTATAAAGTTACAAATTATCATTTTTTTTTTTTTTTTTTTTTACCCTGTGGACCTAAAGATATGTGCTGACAGTACATACAACAGGACATTAGAGTTAACAAAGAAATACCACATATTTTATCTAAAGTTGGGACTCAAAACAAAGGACTGTGTTTAAACTGGAGCCTATACTTCTCTATTTTTTTGTTTGTTTTAAATAATGGTATTAGAAGATAAATGAAAAGAGAAAGAAAAAGAACAACAGCATGAAGAGAACAATGAGACTGTGAAATAACCAAGGGATACCCATAACAGTGATCTGTGGAGACAGTAGATATATAACTCATGGCTAAAATACTAATTTCTTTATTTAAAATTCAGTCAAGCCACATATTCAAATTCACTAAGGTGCATTATCTTGATTTTTTTTTTTTTTTTTTGCAGCAAGACTAGGTTGTGGCTCTATAAACAAAGTCAAGGTAAGTTCATGAGCATTCCTAATTTGCTGACGTATGCATGAGTGTGAGAAGGAGAAGCAGACAGGCAATGTAGAGGTGCAGAAGTGAAAAAGTGTGAACAAATTCATCATCACAACCGAAAAATTTATCATCATTCCAAAGAGAAAAACAAAAACAGATCCAAAAATTTGTGCTTGGTATCATCTGTATGATCTTTGTGTACTAAGAACGTTATCTTGATAAGAAGTGACTACTGGGCTCATAACAAATAACTACTGAGTAACAACATAATTACACTCTGCCTCACATACTTAATGACTTAAGTCATTAAATCAAATTGAAATTGGCCCCTATAATTAGGCATCAATTTGAGGGAAATAGCCCTTCAAGAAAATGTGCTTCCTGTCTAGGAATTACTTTCTAGAAATAAAACCATTTTGTTGAACATAAGACAATCTAAAATGACTGTATATAAGCTTTATATATTGTTTAATCGTACACAAAGATGGAATTCATATTGCCAGAGCTGCTCCTGTCATAGAAAGGCATTTGTCACTCGTTTTAAAGGGTGCATCTGATGGTTGGTCACTTAACAGTTTATGACATGCAAACGCTGTGGCTGATTCCTTAGTCAGCAGTGACACATCAGCACAAACAGGGCAGATACCTTTGCTTTCACAAACACAAATGCTCTAGCAAGTTTGTTATCTTTAAGAGTCCCAAACACAGAATGAATAAAACTGGAAGCAGAAATTATTTCGATTGCCAAAAGCTGGTTCTTAAAAAAGGAAGATACTGTATAATGCTCATGCTCTTAGCCTCTAATTCAGAAACACCATCCAAAACCATATCCCTCTACTAAGTAAAAGCCTGAGGGTGACCGTAAAGTTACATAATGTAAAGATCAATGACCAAGCCAAGTTTCTGCGAGAGGTTTTTTAAAAGGTGTAGTTCCCAGAGCCTAATAGAGAATGTCTTCTGATATATAAAGACTTAAAAATTACTCTAAGACCAATTTGTGCCATCTCCGGGTCCTCTGAGGGCACCGGGCACAAACTTGAGCATTAATCATCGCTAACACTGGAGGAAAAAAAAAAAAAAAGCAGGAGAAAGGAGGCTGTTGCAACATGTCTCAGGTTGGGATGGCTGGGGAACGTGTCCCCTAGAGACGTGGCGTCAGGGTGAAACGTGACACCTAGAAGCGAGAGGGGGTGTTGGGAAGCATAGGAAGTAAGAAAATACCTCTAGATCAAATGCAGACCACCGACAAGATCAAAGAAGTAAGGACAGCAGGGGACGAGGGACAGAAGGGGTAGAAACTCTCAGCGACGGGCAGGGAAACTTGCGGGCCAGAGGGACCCGCAGGAGGAGCTGCCCAGGGTCCCCGCCACAGCACATATGGTGTGCAGCGGCTGGAACCGGGCCTCGGCACACCAGCGCGAAGGTGAAAGGCGGAGAGACAAGTTGGGGACCCGCGCCCCCCGCCCCCTACCCCGGCTTACTCCCCGCGTGGGCCCAGAAGGGCACGTTCCCATCGCTCTGCACTAGGTGCGGCCCCTTGAAGCTGTATTTGTATTCGAAACGGCGATGCAGCACCGCGGCCGGGGTGCCCGGGGAGCCGGCAGTCGCGGGGTCGCCTCCCGTGCCATCGCCCCCGACGAAGTGACTGAGCAGCAGAAGCAAGGTGCACGAAAGCTGCCGAGCTCTGGCCCTGGGACCACTTCGCCTGGATCCCGCCATCTTGGACTGCGGGCGCGGAGGCCGGCGGGAGAGGGAGGGGCGCGGCAGGCTGCGGACAGCCAACAGGGCGCTCTCTGATTGGTGGAGCCCGGAAGACCCCCTAGGGCAAGGGGTGAGTCCCGCCCCCGGTTTCTGCCCTCCTGGTTGCTAGTTCCGAGCCTCTGTGGGCGGGGCCAGGGGAGGGGCGGAGCCCCGAGGAGGGGCGGGGGCGGGAGCCGGTGCGGTCCGCTAGCTGTGAGGGTCTAGGAAGCGGATTACAACTTTCCCTGTGGCTGGGCGAATAGGAGTCGCAGACTGATGTTTACCTGCGCGAGGCTTTCTCCTGTCGCCTACGCTACCTTAAAGGAGCTGAATTTTGCGGATTCAACCTGTAATAAGCCGGTATTAGAAGAAAGGCATTCTTTTTCTTCTGACACCGATTATTCAGTGGCTGATTTTCATTGTGTGACCTTTTCAGAAACACAGTATAAGCGTGAATAATAATCGTCCCAGCCCACTAACAGCATCTCAGAAGAGCCCTAGGGTCTTTCAGTTGGTTGAAAGGGGATAGGAGTGTTTCTGTGAAGCTGCCAATCTTCACTTCTCAAATATGAACTCTAAGGACTTTCCAAATTTTTGGAACCATAGCAATAGTGCACTCAAAGGAAACTACAGTTTGGTTAGTGTTGGAATGAGGGATTATATGCTATTGATGGAGTTAATAAAACCTAGACATTTGAGATTGGAATGACCTTGACTCAGCGTATACATTGTGTATACATTTTAAAGGAGATCTTCCTTCCTTTACAGAAAAATACCTGTATTGTCAAAGTATTAATAGTAATCTACAGTTTTGTTTGTGGTGAATTTTTAAAATCTGAGATGGCTATATGAATTGTTTTGTTGTTACACATGCCTTTTTTATTTTTATTTTTTGGGTTTTTGAGACAGGGTCTGTCTATATAGTTTAGGTTGACCGTGAACTCACTTTATAGCCCTGGATGGCCTTGAACTAATGGCATTTCTCCTGCCTCAGCCTCCCCAGTACTGGGGTTCCAGGCATTTGCCACAACACCCAGGTTCGTTCTTACGCATAGCTCTTTATTTCACTCTCTCTGTTCTTGTAGACATTGAACACCACGCTATTCCTGGGGACTGCATATACCTACATTATTTTAACTTTTCGTTGACCATCCAGGTTCCCATTGCTAGATTCATGGCCTATTACTATTAACAGTCTTCCCAGCTGTCTTAATTACTTTTCTTGTTGCTAAGACAAAATACCGGACACCCAAAGTTAAAGGAGAAAAGCTTTATTGTAGCTCACAGTAGAGGTTTCAGTTCACGGCTGACTCCAAGGCAGGGTGACATTGCAGAGGGGCATTGCAGAGCAGGCAGGCAGAAGGCAGAAGACAGCAAGAGCAAAGTAGCAACAGCAGCAACCAAAGTGACAATGGTAGCCCTCTTTCTGTTCCTTATATTCTGTCCAGGCTGCTCATGCCCCAGGGTCAGGTACCCTTAATCCTAGCACTGTACTATGAATCAATCCCAGAATCACATTCTTAAACCCAATATTATATACTCTAGATTCAGCCACCTCTGAAAAGCCCTACCTATGACCAGATGAGGCTTTGGGGGGGACATCTAGATACAAGCCATAATGCTAGCACTCAAATCAAGCCTTCATATTGAACATTAAGTCCTCCCACCTAATACTATCTAGATGGAAGTTAAATGGAAGTACAATCCTTGATCCTTGTAGCCATTACAGCAGCAGCAGTAACGAACATTTACCAGCCAAGTAGGATATGTGGGTCACCGCCCTAGGGCGAGCTCTCTAGGGTTTAAATCTGTGGGATGTAATAGTTTTATCCTCTTCAGTTTTTTCATCCTGTGGAAAACAACTCTGTATCTTGCAAAGTAGCACATGTTAGTTAAACAAACATTAACGTTAATAAAAATAGTGAACACTTACTGAGTGCTTTGCAGTGTGCCAGAAACGGCACTAAGCCTTCTGCATAAGAGCTACAGCAGCCCTCTAAGATAAGTGCCATTGTTAGTATCTGTATTTTACAAACAAGGAAACAGAGTTACAAAAAGGTTAAACAATTTGCCCAGTGTGACACAGTAAGTGGTAGAGTTGGCTTTCATTCCAGGTACTCTATCACTAAAACTGTCAAAAGAACCATTCTGTGTTAGGAAATAAATCCAGTAAATGTTTTCAATTTATAAGCCTGGCTTCAACTCTCAAGAGACCTGAATTTCAAAATAAGAAACATAAGTTATAATTTATAATTTTGCTGAATGGTAAATATAAAGTATCATGTTCTGCATGGCTATTCCTTTAAAAATAATTTCAATCTTTTGCACATGGGAAGGGGACCGATAGAGTAGTTCAGGCTGGCCTTGAACTCACTGTGTAGCCCAGGCTTGTCTCAAATGGCAACAATCCTCCTGCATCAGTCTTTCAAGTACTGGGATGATAGTTATGTGCTACCATTCTGGCTGATTTTTTTTCATTTCTTTTTTTGAGAGACAAAAAGACAAGAGGAAAAAAAATCTTTCACTGTGCAGTTAAGGCTGGTTTTGAGCTCACTTTGTAACCCATACTGGCCTCAAATTTGGAGTGATCCTCCTCCCTCAGGCTTCCAAGTGTTGGGATTACAGGTTTGCACCACCATGCCAGCCTCTGGCTGACTTTTAAATGTTAAGCTAGAAGCTCCAGTGGCGCAATCACTTAGCGCGCGGTACTTATATAAATGTTAAGCTAATGGCACATTTTGAATAAACTCCAGCTGGATGATATATAATATCTTTTTTTAAAATGCATTTTATAGATTCCTGAATTTTTGGTTATGATTTTTGCATACAGGTTTATGAGAGAGATTAGTCTATTATCTTATTTCTTATAAAGTTCTTATCAGATTTTATAATCAAATTTATGATCTCTATTGCAGTTTGAAATTGAGTTTAACAAGTCTAGCAAACTGTCCAGCACACAAATCTTGACAGTCCCTTTTGATTGCCTTATCAAATACTCATAAAGGTGACTTATGCCTGCAAGTATTCCAGAATATGGAGATTAGAAACGTTTTCAGGATTTATTCTAAATAAATGTCAAAACATTGGTACTTCTGAAACTAGAGAATAGGAAAATTACAAAACTCTGATTTGATTAGATTAGGGAGAATGATGGCATGTTTGACATACTATTCACTGATATCAGTTGTCCCTATACTGAATATTACGTAGGATTTCAGATATCCATAGGCTTTCATGTAATATTTGTCTTAGGAAATTACTGCATGCAAAGATAGTCTTCTTGGTCTTGCTGTATCTACATAGACTAGTGAGCTGATTTCCAATCTTTAATTTTTGATTAGGAAGTTTGCTAAAATGCATATATTAAGCTGAGCACTCTTTGCGATAAAACAGAACTAATGAACTTTTCTTCATATTAGATAAAACCAATAATGATATGACTCTTTATAACCCCACTGGGACAAAACATTACTTTTTCATCTACTTGACAAATTCAAAGCACGATTGAGACAAAAGAGAAGAAGAAAAAGGAAGCAGAGAATAGAAAGTAAAAGAAGAGCAGGAAGTGCCTGGAGAGGGGAGGAAAACGCTCTTGTCAGGACTGTGGTATATTGCACCATTTTAGCCATAGGATGAATATTTACACATGTTAATTTCCCAAGACAAAATGATGAGAACAAGAAAAGAGCAACTAAGCAAAACATTAAAACTGGGAATCAAGCTAAATCTAAAGAAGGAGAACCAGCACATAGCCTGGGGAAAAGAGTGACCCTCACTGTATGCTGAAAGAATTGAGTCAAAGCTCTTAGGCTTTGTATTCATTCCCTAGAGACAATCTTTTGCATACATTTGAAATGCTGGAGCATATTCAATATGGAAGCAGAAACAAATCTCAGTGGTGTGTGAGGCAATAATGAAATCTTTCTTGGAGGTGTGTTGGGGCATGCCTATAATCCTTGATACTTGGGAGGCTGAGGCAGGAGGATCACAAGTTCAAGTCCAGGCTGGGTACCTTAGAGAGAACTCTGTCTCAAAATAAAATAAAAAAGGCTGAGGACAAAGCTCAGTCACAGAGCACTTGCCGAGCATATATGAAACCATTGGTTTAATCCTTAGTACTGCAAAAGAAAGAGAAAAAAAATCTTGTAGTTATTGGTTAGTCAACCCACAGATGAAATATTTTTCTACCTCATTCTTTCAAATCACCTGGTGGTATGACAGCTGCGGCAAGATGGCACTGAAAAAAGAGCAATTTGTCAGTAATGACTATTCAGCAATGCAACTCTCCCACCAGACAAATAAAAGCTTCATAAGTTCAGGGCAGAATTAGGGGTTGCTTCCTTTCCTCTTAAGAGAATGGCAGCCATTCAACCAATTTCATATTACTTCAAATTCCAACAATTTGGAACTTTGACTGTTTCACCCAACTTTGAGTTAGACTGATTTTTATCATTATATGGCTTACGAAGAAAGGTTTGCTAAGCACATAATTGGTGCAGATTAAATCTACTTCAAAAATCAATTTTAGAAAAGTTTTAATAGAAATTTTAACTAGCTAATTATTCAGGAGCAATTTATAGCACTTATTATACACTAGCTGATTTGGTTGTTAAAACAAAACTGTATTTGTACTTGTTATCGGAGTTACAATATGTAATTGGAATGAGTAAAACTTCAGTCCTAAAATTCCTTAACAATGCTGATAAATGTATAGATTAATATCTCGTGACAAACATGCTTCTCTGACCATGTGACTAAACCATGGTGGCTCAGTGAAGTTTTACTGTATGAGTTTTAAAGCATGAATTTAAATCATTTGTTAAATCATCTATATCATTTGAGAATTCAAGGATAATTCAATGTTAGGAAACGTAATATAACACACTAAGAGATATATAAAAATTCTATTATAAAATAATCCCCATTAATGACAAGATGTTTTAGTAATCTAGGAATAAAAGAGAATTCCTTAACATGTTGAAATGTATCTGTCGAAAACCCTGAACAATCACTATTTTTACTAATAAC